GGTTAAGGCTCTCAGCTCGAGCCTGGGGATCCGAAATGTAGGACTTACCATAGGAGGGTTTGGGGTTTAGGGTTTAGGGTTTAGGGTCTAGGGTTTAGGGTTTAGGGTTTAGGGTTTGGGGCGTTTAGGGCTTTTTGGGGCACTTAGGGTTTAGGATTGCGGGGTTGAGGGTCATAGGTTTACGGGCTTAGGGATTAGGGGCTTCATGCTTCAGGGCTCTAGGGTTTTAGGGCCTTTCAGGGCTTGGGTTCTGGGCTTGGGCTTTCAGGGTTGTGGGCATCAAGTCGGTGTGCGCGCCGGCTTGGTTGAGTAAAGGAGCAGTGATACACAGATAACCTAACCACAGGTAATCCGACCTAGATAGGGACTAGCAAAGAGCCACTGGCTGCTGGCTTGAGCTGCGGGACTTCGAGGCATGTGCAAAGGCTTTGCTTAGACTTCCCCGCCCCCTCCATTGCCGCTCGCTCAGAAAGCACTGGGCTCTTGGCAGCTGCAGGAGCTCCACTGGCCTTGATTTCTTGATGTGGTCTGTTATGCAAAACGTGTGGGGCATGAGCTCCAAGCGCGCATAGACAAAAAGAAATGCTGGCAGCTGTTGTTGCCACGAGTATGTAATGCTGACCAATACTAACTACTCTCAGACTAACAATAACACCATCCATAATGACCGCAGCACTGTTGATCATTATAGCTCCTTCGGGTCTAGACGGAAGCAGTGGCATGAGCAGCAGCCGCAGCAGCAGCAGTCGTCGTCGCCGCGGTGGCTGTAGTAGGAGAAGAAAAGCAGCAGTAGTGGCAGCAGTGCCAGTAGCAGCAGCTGTGGCAGCAGTAGCAGCAGGAGCAGGAGCAGGAGGAGGAGTGGCAGTAGCAGTAGCTGCAGCAATAGCAGCGGCAGTAGCAGCAGGCAGCAGCAGGAGCAGGAGCGGGAGCTGTAGCAGGAGGAGGAGAAGGAGGAGGAGTGCAGCAGGAGCAGGAGCAGGAACAGCAGCAGCAATCAGTCATAGAATGATAGCAATAGCTGTGACAGATAAGCAACCCCGGACACTGGAATAGAATCGATTCGTGAACTTGGTGTGCATCTGGCTTTCACTTTCACGTGAGATCTCTTGTTTTGTCGCACATGAACAGCAATGCACTCAAGGTGGGCTCGTGGCAAAGCCCACCACTACAGTGCTGTCAGGTGTCTTGACAAAGGCCGGAGTCGCTAATGTACAGTATATTGTAGTATATTATAGTATATTCTAGTATGTTATAGTATATTATAGTATATTGTAGTATATTATAGTATACTATAGTAGACTATAGTATGTTATAGTATATTATAGTATATTACAGTATATTATAGACTCCAA